CGCCACCACGGTCCCCTCTCGCCACCAGGATCCCCTCTCGCCACCAGGGTCCCCTCTTGCCGCCATGGTCCCCTCTCGCCACCAGGATCCCCTCTCGCCACCAGGGTCCCCTCTCGCCACCAGGATCCCCTCTCGCCACCAGGGTCCCCTCTCGCCACCAGGGTCCCCTCTCGCCACCAGGGTCCCCTCTCAGCACCAGGGTCCTCTGCTGAGGAGGCTGCAATACCTGCTGTAGCTGGGGCTGCACCTTGGAGTGGGAAGGGACCAGGCAGGCAGAGGCTGAGTCAGGCCGGGACATCCTTAAGGCCTGTGAAGGAAAAGGCAGGCAGAAAGGGAGCAGGAAGATGGAAGACGCACCTGTCGCATCCTTGGATCTCTCAGCGTCACACACGACGCCCAGGAAGGAGTGAGTGGGGCATAGATGGCTGGTGCTGACCAGAAGCCAGGAGGAGAGGCCGATGACACACCCGACCGGGAGGCCCAGCTCATGGGGTCATCGGACCCGCCTTGAACTCCAAAGGTCACATTCAAAAGCCACAGGAAGCCTGGAGATGGCAGCAGAGAGCTGGGAAGCTCAGAGGTGTCCGGACGAACCCAGGACTGAAGGCGGAACAGCTGGAGCTTGAGACCTGTCTATAAGTTTTGGTGGACATGGGGTTGCCTGTCCCTGGGAGCCAGAACGAGGGCTCCGAGGGCTCCAAAGGGAACAGTGTTTGCAGGCAGAACGTCCAAGGAAGGCTCAGAGTGTTCCCCTCATTCGAAGGATCAGTAATAAGAGTGACGAGAGATGAATCAGCAAAACGGGAGAAGCCAGAAGACCATAAATGGTTTCCAAAATATCCAAGAAAGGCCAGTGGAGACTCCGACAGCCAATGGATTCCCGTAGCCTTCGGAACGAGGATGACATGCAGGCTGGCCACTCTGGACCCGAGCGGTGTCGGTGGTGGAGGGCACTTCAGGGGGAGGATGAGGCCGAGGGAAAGGAGTGCAGAGATGGGGAGAGACAGCGCCGGCGGGAACTGGCATCCCAGCGATAGTGGGGTCAGAGGCTCCTGTGGAAACCAGCATGGGCTGCCCAGCACGGGATCCCAGCGACAGTGGGATCTGAGGCTCCTGCAGGAACTGGCGAAGGCTGCACGGCACAGGGTCCCAGCGACAGTGGG